AGAAGATCATAGGAGAATTTGTGGTGATTGATGGAGGAATTTGAAACCCTGAGTTTTGTTTGCATTTTGTGGAGGACCTTGCATTGCTGACTGCTCTGGTCATACTTCTACCTCCAGAAACTAACTTAGGGAGGAAATTCTTTGCAGAAACATGTTGCGGATGTATGGACCAAGCTACCCACCCATGTTGTGGAGAGCCATGCCCAGGTTACCATCACAAAATGACTGGATGAGATCCTCTGATCCATTATTTACTTACTCGCAAACAACTGAATGAGACCAACTGAGACCGAAAAATAAACCAAAAGTTTGCCAAAGCTCTGCGCTGCGATTCCTCTGTAATCGCGGTATTGTGCCCGTCAAGGCGAAGTGGCAGGGCCGTGCCCTGTGCTCGGGGCTCGGGGCTCGGACAGCGGGGCTCGCTCTGCCTGCCGGGCAGGAGTGCACTGGCTGTGCCCAGGCCCCGTGCCAGTGTGCTGTGATCTCCGGGCTCGGTGCCACTGCCCGCGGTGTGTGCCCTGCCGCACTGCTGGGCTCCAGGTCACATCAAGCTTGCTGCTGTCAAGAGCCCCTCACTGCGCTCAAACCTTCCTCTTTCTTTCCTTCCCCTCTCTCTCCTCCTTGAAAAGAGAACGGGAGATTGCTGGCTGCTCCCCCTGCAGCAGTTCAATAGTCTTTTGGATTCCCTTCCTCTCTCACCCCTCCTCCTCTCTCTCTCTCATTCTTTCTCCCCTCTCTGCCTTGGATCAACTCCCTCTCCCTCCCCTCTTCCTCTCCTCTCTCTCCCTCCCCGCTTTCTCTCCTCTTCCTCTCCTTTTCCTCTCCTCTCTCTCCCTCCCCTCTTCGTCTCCTTTTCCTCTCCTCTCTCTCCCTCCCCTCTCCCTCTCCTCTTTCTCTCCTCTCTCTCCCTCTCCTCTTCCTCTCCTCTCTCTCCCACTCCTCTTCCTCTCTCCCCGCTCTGCTGAGAGCTCTGGGACACAAAGGCTCTCTTAGAGACTGAGCCCTTCATGCCCTGGCGAGCAAGGGGGGGGAGGAGGGGGGAGGGAGAACGAGGAGGAAGAGAGGTGTAGGTGCCTGGAGAGAGAGGAAGACGGGGGGAACTGGGCAGGAGACAGGGAGAGATCGGGGGGGGGGAGAGACAGGCGGAGGGGGGCTGGTGATGTGAAGTGTTTTGGAGATCACAGGAAGTGGAGGTTGATGCGGTATTTTGTTTGTTATTATATTAAACACGCATTTCATTAGCGCTGCACAAAAGAGCAAAGCGATGGAGATGGAGGGGGAGTGGAGCCTGTTTTCTGAATGTTCCGCACATCCACATAGCACAGGCAAGCTCCTGGCACAGATCAGGCTCCTGGTGCACAGTGGTTCGATCCTTTTCTTGTTTCACATTCGGCACAAATTGTGCAGCTTACTGAAGAATCCTAAGCATGTATATTTAACAAGAGTTCCATGTCTGATGCACGGATTCGCATGTTTACTCAGACTAAGGCAGAAAGCTGGGACGAGCCAGCATCTGGATCAAACAGCTGCACAATGGGACCTACACCTGTCATCACTGTGATGTTACTGAATCAGAAAAAGGAGTACAAAATGAGTGCAGGTGACGTAATGTCTCACTCTCTTTCCCACACTCACTCTCACTCTGTCACTCATGTCACTCTCATACTGTGTCACTCCCACAGTGTCCCACTCTCACACCTCCACACTCTCCCATATGGTCTCATGTTTACACAAAGTCTCCCATCAAACTGTGATGGGCCGACGCTAGCAGTCTCCAAGTCTAACTCTCTGTTGCTGCAGTACAGAGCCCTGATTGGAGACACAGGCCCAGTACAGCCTGCTGTTGAAGAATTGAAACCGGCACCAACTCCTGGACCCTGTCTCTCAGCTCCTGTAGCTGGGAACACTGGCTCAGCTCAGGCGTCAGTCCTGCCAGCTGCAGCAGGATCCCAGGGACGTGCTGTCCTGCGCAGAGACGTCGTGATCCCGGTGTAGAAACTCCTGGCACGACCGGCAGGGCAGGACTGAAACGTAGCCCAGCTTCCAGAAACGGGTGTGTTTTGATAGCAAGGGAGCCAGCAAGAGTAACTGGAGAAAACGCAACCATGAAATTACAGAAGTGAGACGTGTTTCCTGTTTACTATAATAATACCCCCGTGATTAAGTCCCCAGTATAATCATTGGCCCAGTATATCTCAACAAGCCTGAGAAGAATGTCTTTACACAGTCCAAGCACATTACTCGTTTCTAAACAATGTGTGCCAGAGTACATGAATGTGTCTCTCAAGGTAGCTGGGTTAGACGCAACAATCGATTCTCCCCTGGGATGCTGAAAAGTCTGTAGTAACAGAGCACAATTCTGGACAGACGAACACGCACACACACACACATCCAGAGGGACACTGCGCTGATTTCCTGCAACACACCGACAGACGCAGACACAGAGGCGTCGTTCCTAACAACAGCACGGCTGGGTTATTGTGTAACAGTTCTCTTCTTTGCAGGTACAGTATATTAGGTAACCCAGGACGAGCAGGGGGGCTGTTTAATTAAAGATCTACCACACAGCAGTCAGAGATAACAGACTACACTACACTGTGGGACAAGGTAGAAGAGGTTTGCACAGAAACAAATTCAATTCACTGCAATTCAGGTTTCACCAGTTGCAGGTTCAGACAGTTCATGGGGCGGAGTGGTGACTCTGTGGCTCAGGATCTGCGCCTGTGGCTGGAAAATTGCTGGCTCACATCCAGCAGCCAGCAGAGGTATCCTACTCCGTTGGGCCCCTGAGCAAGACCCTTAACCCCAGCTGCTCCAGGGGTGCCGTATAAATAGCTGACCCTGCGTGCTGACCTCAAGCTTCTCTCCCTGTCTGTGTGTCTCATGGAGAGCAAGCTGGGGTCTGCGAAAAGACAAATTCCTACTGCAAGAAACTGTGTATGGCCAATAAAGTGACCTTATATGCACAAGCTGCTGGTGCCTTGTGCCAGAAACCTTTTTACTCTATAGGGAGTAAATTTGTGTTGACTGTAGTCAAGATGAAATGAGAGATCACTCCCCTCCCTGTTTTCAACCTGTGCTGTGTCCCTGGCACTTGTGGTTTGTGTTCATTAAAAATGAAGCCGTCCAAACAGCTGTGCAGCCTGAGTCTACGTCCTGGTGCCACCATCTGCCCGGTGAAGGCAGCAGCCCTGTGTGCACATGTGACCTCAGGCGTCTTTCTCACCTGTGATGGGCAGATGCTGGCAGAAAAGACACTATTTGATCAAAGCTCATCAACACCTTTGTGTTTTCCCAAGTTAACTACAGTAATGCTCTACTCGCTGGGGTGTCTAAATCTATATTGAACAGTATGTCCAAAATTCAGCAGCCAGAATCCTGACCAGGTCTAGTGCAACTGTTCACATTACTCCTATCCTGGAGTCCTTGCACTGGCTTCCTGTCATATTCCATGTTGACTTTAAAATCCTCATGCTCACCTACTGTATAAGGCTCTGCATGGCTTGGCACCTCAGTACCTGTCTGAACTACTATCGCCCTACTCCCCATCTCACAACCTTCGCTCTTCTAACTGTCCCCCAAGCCCCCAAGGATATCAGAGAGTCACCTTCTCTAAACTCCTTCACATCCAGACTCAAAACCTTCTTCTTTAGAAGAGCCTTTACTGAACTGGTTCCATTCTTCATCCCTCTGCTCCTACTATACTAAGTATCACCACCCACGGTCTCCTCTGTGTATTGTAATTGTATTCTTTTTATTTATTGTTGTTTTCATTCTGTAAAGTGCTTTAAAGGTGCTATATAAAATAAAGTTTATTATTTTTTTGTTATTATTACTATTACACAGCACATCCTGCTGAGGCTGTGACTGCTCAGGTTCCACACGCAGGCTTCCCATGATCAACTGCATGATCCCCAACCCATGATCAACCGTGTCCAATGAGCTGCTCACACCACTGGACCTGCTGTCAGCTGGTCAGCTTTGCCTGAACAAAAGGTGTCCAGAAACAGAAATGAGCAAAGGGTTAGTTCCTCCTCTTTCTCACCTGCTCCCACAGATCGTGACTCTGTGTGTTAAACCTGCTCCCTCTCCCATAGTTTGGGAGAGAACTTTGTCCTGGCAAACACAGAGCCTGTGCCGTCAATCCTTTTAGGATCTTCCCAGCTGGAATTTATGTCTGGTGTCCTGACTCCTTACGGGATGGAAACAGGCAAGACTCAAAATACGGCGACCCTTTCTGAAAGCCGTAATAAATATTTCAGGTGGGGAGCTGCGTCAGCATGCGTAGGCTGCAAAGGAACAAGTAACAGGTTTATTCCATGCTGAAAAAAAGAAGAAGAAAGAGAACACAACGTTTCGGCCGTGGAGCCTTCTTCAGGTGTGAGAGAGTTATCACCTGCAAGTACACAGCCACCACCACACTCATTCAAGGCCCCTCAGGACAATTCCGGATCACCCAGACAGCATCTTGTACCTCCAGC